CGCCTGCCTCGCCTCTCCCTGGTCCCTCTCCCTACACTGGTCCCACAGGAGGTCTTGCAGAGCGTCGTGAGCCTGCGTCTCGTCCTGCGTCGCCTGTTCGTACTGCTCGCACTGGTCGTCGTGTCCCACGTGAGCGTCCTCCTCCTGTCCCTGGCACTCACTACATGACTCTGCGTCCCTCCACTGCTCCTCAGCGTGTCCCGCTGCCGTCTCCTCCTGCGTCCTCTCTGCCTACTCTTCCTGACCCGGAGTCTGACGCCCGTCGTGCTGCCAGTCCCACGGTCACCCGTCTTCTCGCCACTGTTGTCACTGACCCTACCTTTGAGTCCTCTGCTGCGTCTGCTCTGGTCGCTGAGTTGATAGACTTTGCTGCCCGGTGTCGTCTAGACTACGCCACTAGCCTTGTTGCTGAGTCTGAGTCTGAGTCTGTCTGTCCTCCGTCTGTCGGGGGTGAGTGTGCTCTTGGCACGGACGTCCTTGAGGACAGATAGGAGGAGTTCCAGTGCTTTGCTGCTGCTTTGCCCCACCTCGTGTCCATGCTAGTTGCCCCTGAGGGAGACCCGGATGCACCAGACATCCCGACCCCGCGCACTTACGCTGAGGCGATGGCGGGTCCCTACTCCTCTCAGTGGCAGACAGCCATGGACGCAGAGATGGCTTCCTGGAAGTCCACAGGCACCTACGTTGACGAGGTTCCCCCACCTGGGGCGAACATCGTCAGTGGCATGTGGATTTTCAGGGTGAAGCGGCCACCGGGTTCTCCTCCTGTCTTCAAGGCGCGCTACGTGGCTCGAGGCTTCAGTCAGCGAGAGGGAGTCGACTTCTTCCAGACCTTCTCCCCCACCCCGAAGATGACCACTCTTCGGGTGCTGCTGCACATAGCCGCTCAGCGCGACTACGAGCTTCACTCACTTGACTTCAGCACTGCTTTCTTGCAGGGCAGCCTGCACGAGGAGATCTGGCTGCGCCGCCCTCCTGGCTTCACTGGGTCGGTTCCTCCTGGTACCCAGTGGAGGCTCCAGCGGCCAGTCTACGGTCTCCGCCAGGCACCGCGTGAGTGGCACGATACACTGAGGACGACACTTGCGGCTCTTGGGTTCGCTCCCTCTACTGCTGACCCGTCACTGTTTCTACGCACAGACACCTCACTCCCGCCGTTCTACATCCTCGTGTACGTCGACGACTTGGTCTTTGCCACTGCTGACACCGCGGCACTCGCCCACGTGAAGTCGGAGCTGCAGAGGAGACACACGTGCACAGACCTGGGTGAACTGACAAGCTATCTTGGCTTGCGGATCACCCGGGACAGAGCACGGCGCACCATCACCTTGACTCAGTCACACATGGTGCAGCAGATCCTTCAGCGCTTCCGCTTCACGTACTCCTCGCCTCAGTCCACTCCTCTGCCTACCGGTCACTCGCTCTCAGCTCTGCCTTCGGATGAGTCCGTAGAGCCGAGTGGCCCGTATCCAGAGCTTGTGGGCTGCCTCATGTACCTGATGACCTGCACTCGACCTGACCTTGCATACCCTCTTAGCATCCTTGCGCGCTATGTCGCTCCTGGCCGTCACAGGAAGGAGCACATGGATGCCGCTAAGAGGGTGTTGCGCTACTTGTGCAGTACGTCGGGCATGGGGCTAGTGCTTGGAGGGCGAGACCGAGTTGTACTTACTGGACACTCAGACGCTTCTTGGGCGGACGACCAGGCTACTCAGCGGTCGTCTCAGGGTTACACCTTCAGCCTTGGCTCCGGCTCAGTTTCTTGGCGTTCTACACGCTCTTCTTCTGTTCTCAGCTCCAGTTGTGAGGCTGAGATCTACGCCACAGCCATGGCTGCCCAGGAGCTACGCTGGCTGACCTACCTGCTGACCGACTTGGGAGAGCGGCCTCGTTCTCCTCCAGTGCTGTACGTCGACAACCAGGCTGCCATTGCCTTGTGTGAGGAGCACAGACTGGAGCACAGAACGAAGCACATCGCCCTGCGGTACTTCCTTGCTCGAGAGCTGCAGCAGCGTGGTCAGCTTCGTCTGCGTTACGTGGCCACTGAGGCCAACCTTGCTGATGTGTTCACCAAGGCGCTTCAGCCTTGTGACCATCAGCGTTTCTGTACTCTTCTAGGCCTTGTGCCTGCTGGACCTCACTTACTTACTTCTTGACTCTGCTTGTACTGTGATCTTTATATATATGCCTGCATGTTTACACTTGCTAGGTTGTGATCTCTGTATCTCTTGCTATATTATCAACCTGCATGTGAACTGGTCTTGTGACCACTTGCTTGTGCTCGGAATTTGTGTGGTATCCTTGAGATCCACCCTGAGCTTGTTTTGCTTTGCTTTGACTGGTCTTGTGACCCCTAGGTCTCCCCCACTTTGCCTATGGGGGTGTGTCAAACATTATATATGTTGTGTTTGTTTAGGCTACAGTGGGTTAGCCTATAGGGGGTACACAATTCTAGGGTTAGGTACTTGTACTGATTTCACTGCTAGTTCAATCATTCCTGTCTGTTGATTTCGACAAGTAGCTGAGGAGTAGGCGGCTTGATGACACCGAGTCATCTCCCCATTGAGATGTCACCAGACTTCAAGGGCTGGAGTAGGTGATGCCTTGTGGAGCAGATTCCCAGTTGCTCCGTAGATGACATGTTGCGCAGGGTTACGCTGTATAATGGAGCAGCTCATCAACACGAACTACCTCGATCCTGCTCACTGGGAAAACTTGCTCGCCATGCTGGAGTTCGCGTTCAATAACACCCCGTCCAGCACGACTAATCGTTTACTGTTTTTTCAAAAAATTATGGGATGGACCCGGTGGTGCCAACCACGACTACACTCAACAACACGGTCCCACGGTCATGAAGTTTTGTGACGGAACTCCATGAGATTCACAAAAAGGCAGCTGATGCAATTCGGAAGGCTAATACTACCGCCCGGAAAATACACGGAACTTTTACGACGAGAAATCATCATAACATTTGGGCAACTAGTGCTGCTCGACATGAAACACCACCGGCTGCCCGGCTCGGACAAACTACGGCCACGATTTTGGACCATTCAAGACCATTCAAATGGTGACACCTGTCACCGCAAAGCTACAGTTACCCGACGATTGGTGTGTCTATGACACCCTCCATGTCAGCCTCATTCGCAAGTTCGTGCCTGCCACGACAGACATCGCGCGCCAGAACGCCGCCTCGACAGCTCGGCCTGTCCTGGAACCGACACTCGACCCGCCTAAAATTTTGGCGCATCGTGTTCGGCTCGACGGTGCAGACCGCCACGTGGAACTTTTTGTTTCCTGGATTGACTGCACCAATGAAGACGACGCGTGGGTACCATCCGCCTCGCATGAAGCCTTATCGCTTCTTGTTGATTATTTCATTGCAAGCGAGCTGCGGATATGGACACCCTTCTCTAAGGGGAAAGGGATGGGGGTAGTGTAAGGAATTTTTCTTATTCCTTACCGGGGTTGACTGCTACGCGTACAACCCCTAGATTGTGGGCTTCACACGTTCGACCTACATTCACGATGCCGAGGTTCAGGCCCTCAGATTGGTTTGAGGGTATGCTGATGGATCAGCGTGCCCCGGCCAACGAGGTGTCCAAATCAGCGTTCACGGATTTTTTTTTACTGATTTTGCCAGTGTGAAAATCATAAGTAAACTGAACTAACAGTGTAAAAAAAAAACTAACAGCTGAAGCACTAGTGCAAGGTGTGTGCTGTTGTTACTGTGATACCGTAGGTTCCAGCGAGGCGAAAGATATCAGGTCCACACACTTCGGAGCGCACCTGATCCAGTATCTGCGCAGCACATGCGAAGTGTGTGGGTTTCGTGACACGGAAAGGTATAGTCTGTACATGCATAACTTACCCCCCCCCCCCCGCGCGGTCAAGTCCGTTTCAGGGTGACGCACTGAAGTATGCTAATTCGTCAGTGTTACTTGTTCAGAAACACACATAATCGTCAGTGTGGCAAAATCACATATACTGAAATTTCAGCCCATAATGGAAGCATTTACTGATTTTTCAGGGAAAACGAAATTCAGAGCTACAAAATCAGCGTAATCAGCGTGTTTTACGCTGATATCTGAGGCCCTGCCGAGGTTGCCTGCGTTGCCTTGGACTTTCCAAACCTGCACCCAACCTCGTTTTCCCGAGGTTCCCTCATAGCTAGGGTAGTCGCTATATTAGCGCGTGCCTTCATTGTATTGACAGCTCATTGAGTCACAACCTCGTTCGTTATTCCGTGCACTTCCTTTTACAACTCATAACAGATTTCGTGCTTTCAAAACTTCTGTTACATGCCAAATGTGGTAACTGAGCTGGAAATATCCGCACGTGTGCAAGGTTTGACCCGCCCTAATCCCCCCTATCCCAAGCTTGAACTGCGTTCCGTGCACTTCTGAAAGTTGGATCTTTGTTCTTGCGCAGCCGAACGGGGCCGTGTTAGCGAGCCTTGCAAAAAACCAGTTTTGTTGCGAACTCCCAACGTGACTCCTCGTGCTTGACGAAACGCTCGCGAATGCGTCCGACACTTGTTGAATCACACAGCGTGTTCCCGCCTTTCGTTTGACCCTCCCTAAGGAGAAATAAGTGGAAACGGAATTCGCTACAGTGCCCATAAACACGCTGGCAACCCGTCGAGAACCACCAACAAGCTCCCAAGGCTGAAACCCTAGTTTGCTACTACCAAACCTCCATGAACATGGAATTCTAGCGAAGCTCGACGCAGTTTCCTAGATACTTCCGGAGCTTTATAAGGTGTATTGCTGACGCGTGCGTCTACCGAAAGCGCGCTTCGATCGTGGCCCGCTTTTCGTGCGTCTTTCAAGGTTATTTTCGAACCCATACTATTAGGTGTGCTGGAATTATCATCAGTCATAGCGATTGCTGATACCCGGCCAGAGAAGTGGTTGCAGCGAGTTGACACGCTATCGAAAAGTGCAAGAGCTATCGTGGATCGCAATGTTGCTCAGCATATTGAGCTTGGAACGAGTATCGCGATGTGTCAGGTGGTCGATGATATTGACTGCCACGTGACGTCGTCGTTTCGCATGAGTCATCCATTCTCCCATCCGAATCTCATCCATTCTCCCATCCGCATCTCATCCATTCTCCCATCCGCATCTCCTCTTGTTATCATCCTCCCGATTTCCCTTCCCCTTCTCCTCCCGTCCGCTCATCCTCATCTCCTCCCGCCCTTCCGCATCTCCCCACGTCCTCCCCTCATCATTTTCTCCCGTTTCCCCTTCCCCTACTCCCGTCCTCTCATCCTCATCTCATCCCATTCTCCCTGTCTCAACTCCTCCCGTCCGCCCATCCTCATCTCCTCCCCTTCTAACTTCCGCCCATACTCTCGTCCCCCCTGCTCACTCTCGTCCCCCCTGCTCACTCTCGTCCCCCCTGCTCACTCTCGTCCCCCCTGCTCACTCTCGTCCCCCCTGCTCACTCTCGTCCCCCCTGCTCACTCTCGTCCCCCCTGCTCACTCTCGTCCCCCCTGCTCACTCTCGTCCCCCCTGCTCACTCTCGTCCCCCCTGCTCACTCTCGTCCCCCCTGCTCACTCTCGTCCCCCCTGCTCACTCTCGTCCCCCCTGCTCACTCTCGTCCCCCCTGCTCGCTCCCTTCCCCCTTGCTCACTCTCTTTCCCCCTGATCACTCTATTCCCCCCTTATCACCCTCTTCCCCTATCATCACCCTCTCCCCCCTGCTCACTCTCTTCCCCTCTCCACCCCCTCTCCCCCCCCTTCACCTCTCTACCCCCCTACCCACTCCGGCCTTACCTCCAGGCTCGTCACATCCAGGCTCGTCACATCCAGGGTCCCGGCCTCTAGTTGACATGCAAGCTTCAGCCTGGGTCGGACCCACTGGCGCACCAGTTGCCTGTGAGGCGAGTCTTCTTTGCCAGGAGGAGACCACACAGTTGGAATACAGTTACGTGCCTGGCAATGGCAATTCTGCTGTATATCGCGCCCCCACCCCCATCGGCAGTCAATTACCGCCATCGCACCCCGTCGGCTTTGCCGAACCTCCACGCCCAACATTTGCCCAACCTCCACGCCCAACCTTTGCCGAACCTCCACGCCCAACCTTTGCCGAACCTCCACGCCCACCCTTTACTGACCCTCCACGCCCACCCTTTACCAACCCTCCACGCCCACCCTTTACCAACCCTCCACGCCCACCCTTTACCAACCCTCCACGCCCACCCTTCGCCGACCCTCCGCGACCACCCTTTGCCGACCCTCCACGCCCTCCTCTGCCGCCCAACAGCTCCATTCCCAGCGAGCCCCCCAGTGCAAGCAGAGGCACATCTAGAACCAATGCATTGTGGGACGATGACCTCACAGCAGACCTCCTCCGCTGTGTGATAGCGGCCATGCGCGATGCAGGCAGGGCTACCTTCGCCAAAGTGCAGTGCTGGGACGCTGTGTTCGCCCGGTGGAATGCCCAGCATGCCGACTTGTGCTTCACGGAAGCGCAGCTGCGGAACCGGCTGAACACGCTGAAGGTGTGGGTGAAAGACATCCGGCAACTCAAGTCGTGCGTGCGCCCCGGTGTGACTTGGGACCCCGCAAAGGACTACTTCGACCCGCGTTCCATGGTAAGCCTCCCAGTCCTTTGGTACCATGGTAAGCCTCCCAGTCCTTTGGTTCCATGGTAAGCCTCCCAGTCCTTTGGTTCCATGGGAAGCCTCCCAGTCCTTTGGTTCCATGGGAAGCCTCCCAGTCCTTTGGTTCCATGGTAAGCCTCCCACGCAGGCGCTGCCTGTCTCCTTGTGTTGACGTTTAACCACAACTTGAAAAGGGCAATTAGAAAATTGTACATACCTACCGCTCCCCCCCCATTCCCTTGTCGTGCAGGTTGCTGATACGGATATTACGGCGAATGGTAAATGGGACGATTTGAAACGGTGGGTCACGCACACCGCACCGTGGCTTAGCCTTGGCGAGCAGGTTGTGTCAAAATCCAGGCCGCGTGGCAGCAGCTACGCATTCACGCTGACTGGGGATGGCGACAGGTATTACTCTGACGGCCCCAATGGAGACGATCTCTCGAGTGGGGATGAAGTGGCTGATGCAGCGCATAATAGAGGCCGGCAGCGCCGCCGACTGGGACTTGAGCACAGCAGCCCTCACCCGTCTGCGCCTTCGATGACCACCACATCCCGTCCTCCTGCATCCGCATCCGCTGCACCTGCAGCAAGCCCCACTACCGCACCCGCTGCACTCCCTTCCATTGCAAGTAGAGGCCCAGCTAGAACCACCGCCAGTGGCACAAGGTCACTCCCAATGTGGACTGATGACCTCACAGCGGACCTCCTCCGCTGTTTGATAGCGGCCATGAGGGATGCAGGCAGGGCGCCCTTTGCCAAAGTGCAGTGCTGGGGCGCTGTGTTCGCCCGGTGGAATGCCCAGCATGCGGATTTGAACTTCACGACGGAGCAGCTGCGGAACCGGCTCACTGCTGTGAAGGCGTGGGTGAAAGACATCAGGCAACTCCAGTCGTGGGTGCGAGAAGGTGTGAACTGGGACCCTGCACGCGACTTCTTTGACCCGAATACTTTGGTAAGTTGGAGTCATTTTTTAGAATTCTCACAAAGTAAGCTTCCTAGACAGGCACTGCCCGTCTCCTTGTTGACACTGAATTACAACTTGAAGAGAGCGGTTAGATCTTGTTTTTTTGTACACACCCTTTCCTCGCCATTCCCGTGTCATGCAGGTTCGTGATGTCGACATCCCTCCTCGCAAATGGGATGATTATAAACGGTGGCTCACCCACACCGCACCGTGGCTTAGCCTTGGCGAGCGGGTGTCTCGTCATGGCGGCCACGCATGCACCCCAGGGGATGGCGACAGGTATTACTCAGACGACCCGGGTGATTACGACCTCTTGAGTGGGGATGAAGCAGCAGCAAGCCCCAATCCTGCACCCGCAGCATCCCCTGACCGCGCACAGCCCGCCCTCCCCCCTTATGCCTTCCCCTCACCCTCCCTCCATCCGCCCCCCGTTGACCTCCCCGTGCCCCCCCTGCGCGCGAACACTTACGAGCTTGGGTTGCTGGCCAATGGCTCGACAGGGAGGGGCGGTGCCACGCTCGCAGGCGCGGGAACAGGCACGGGCACAGGTACAGGCACGGGCACAGGCACGGGTGCGGGCGCAGGCACGGGCACAGGTATAGACACAGGCACGGGGTCGCGCGAACGGGGGGGACAGGCATTGCAAAGCGGCAAGTGGCGGGCGATGTGGGACGGCGAGCAGACAACAGCTCTTTTGGGGATCATTCGAGACGTGTTGCGCGCTGAGGGCTCCCCCCTCCCTGGCCGGATCGAGGACTGGGGGGCGGTGCACCGCGAGTGGCTGCGGCGGGGGTTACCGCGGTACTCTAAGGAGCAGCTGCGAATGCGGTGCAGTACGGTGCGCGGGTGGGTGAAGGACATTCAGTTTCTGCAGGAGCTGCTGCCGCCTGAAGTCACCTGGGACCCCTCCACTCAGTGCTTCAACGCCGACCCCGAGGTGAGGCGGTGAGAGAAAGAGGTGAGAGGAGCGGTGAGAGAGCTCAGGGTGTGCTGTAGTTTGCCACCCTCCTCTGCCTCCTCTCTCTCATGGAAGCCCCGCAGGGCAACGAGTCAACGACCACACTCCTCCCTCCTGCATTCACTCCGTTGCTCCTATCCCCCTTGCCCGCTTCCCCACTCCCTCCACCCCATCCACGTGCGCGCTTCAGCTGGGCATCAGCCTGTGGCTGAAGCAGCACGGGCGGTGGGAGCAGTACAGGCGGTGGTGCACTCACACAGCGCCCTGGCTGCCCCTCGCGTTGCTCAATGTGCACACGTGCCCTGCTGAGGTGGAGTGGGATGAGGACGAGGAGGAGGAGGATTGGGGAGACGGGGAGGAGGATGGGGAAGAGGAGGAAGATGATGTGGTGGAGGTGCGGGCAGGTGGGGAGGGGAATGGGGATGCAGACGAGGAGGCTGGTGAGGGAGACCGGGGAGAGGGTGTGGAAGAGAGAGGGGTTGGGAGTGGTGGGTTCGGGGTTGCACAGGGGAATGGTGGGGCGGGGGTTGCACAGGGGAATGGTGGGGCGGGGGTTGCACAGGGGAATGGTGGGATTGACTGTGCAGCTGATGCTCCGCGGGTCAATGGTGTTCCGCGTGCTGACGTGGCTCGTAACAATGTCACCTTTGCTGACGGGGCTCGTGCTGACGAGGCGTGTGCTGACGTGGCTCGTGTGGGTGGGACTGGTGCTGCAAGTGTAGATGAAAGGGACGAGTACCATGCAAGGCTGGCAGCGCGGATTGCTGAGATGGCAGCGAGCAGGAGGGAGCAAGGCGGCACAGAGGGGGGAGGGGCTGGGGATGGAGGAGGAGGAGATGGAGGAGGAGATGCCAGTGCACGACGGGGGGATGGGGATCCTGAGGGGGGGAATGGGGTGGGGGAGAGGCCGGAAAGGGAGAGAAGGGAGGAGGGGAGATGGGGGAGGGGTGTGAAGCGGTCAAGACCGGTGTGGTTGCAGGTGAGGGAGAGGCAGCGGCAGCGGCGGGTGATGGAGAGTGTGGCGCGTGCCCTCAAGAGCATGGCGGAGAAGGGCCAGCCGCACGTGCATAGAGGTGGGTGATGAGAATGCACACATGCTTATAGGTGGATGATGAGAAGGCACAGATGCTTAAAGGTAGGTGATGAGAAGGCACAGATGCTTAAAGGTAGGTGATGAGAAGGCACACGGTAGGTGATGTCGCACGTGCATAGATATATGTGATGTGCACTAAGGTGTGGTGTGATGTGCTGTGATGTGTTGTGATGGGATAGGATGGGCGGGATGGGATGGGATGGGATGGGATGGGATGGGATGGGATGGGATGGGATGGGATGGGATGGGATGGGATGGGATGGGATGGGATGGGATGGGATGGGTTGGGTTGGGATGGGATGGGATGGGATGGGATGGGATGGGATGGGATGGGATGGGATGGGATGGGATGGGATGGGATGGGATGGGATGGGATGGGATGGGATGGGATGGGATGGGATGGGATGGGATGGGATGGGATGGGATGGGATGGGATGGGATGGGATGGGATGGGATGGGATGGGATGGGATGGGATGGGATGGGATGGGATGGGATGGGATGGGATGGGATGGGATGGGATGGGATGGGATAGGATGGGATGGGACGAGATGCGATGAGGTGGGATGGGATGTGATGTGATGTGATGTGATGTGATGTGATGTGATGTGATGTGATGTGATGTGATGTGATGTGATGTGATGTGATGTGATGTGATGTGATGTGATGTGATGTGATGTGATGTAAAGGCACAACTTCCTTCCAGTGTCAAATTTGTTGTCCAGGATCAGAGTAACAAATGTTGGAGCCAAGGAGATATGGCGGGAGACCTGATGTCAAAATGAGCAACATAAAAAAAGCAATTGTATCTATTATAATTATAAAAGTAATGATCATTGTAAATATTAACCCCTTTTTACTCCCTTCCCACCGCTTCCTTCCAATCCACCAGCCTCGCCGCTGCCTCTACTGTTCTCCGCTGCTAGGGGCCTCGATTATGTACAAATGTACAATCTTTCCCCCAGCTGCCCTCACCCTTACCGGAATATCTTAGGCAGAACCTTAAGTATTCTGACAAGTAGCTATTATAATTATAAAAGTAATGATCATTGTAAGTATTTATATCGCCCTCATTCTTACACAGAGAGCAAAAGATTCTACCCAATTCACCAGACTTAGTTCATCCTAGTCTCCGCGGATCTATGCTTAGGTCAAGAAGGAATTGAGTAAGCAAGGAAATATCATTTCAAAACTGAGCGTGTGCTTTTGATGTTTCCTTGCTTACTCAATCCCTACATAGCATAAGCATAGATTAGCGGAGACAAAATTATTTCCTCTCTTTCCACCCACCTTCTTCCCAAACTTACCCCCTTCTCCCTCCCCCCCTTTTTGTGGGTAAGTCGGAGTCAAAATTTCTCCTCTGAAGCTCCTTCTGAGCCATCTGAGAACACAGCTTTGGCCTCCCCTTCTCTCCCCCCCCCCACCACCACCCCCCACCCACCCCCCACCCCCACCAGACGCGGTGGCGGACAGCGTATTCAAGTCGGTGCAGGCAGTGCAGGCGCTGCCCTCGCTGACGGACGCGCAGCGCGTGGCGGCCATCGACGCCTTCCTGCAGCGCCCCCTCGACGCCCACGCCTTCCAGGCCATGAGCCCCGCCCTGCAGACCCTCTTCGCCCGCCGCGCCCACGCCCAGGCTGTTGACAGGCAGCTGGCCGGCATGCAGGCCGCCGCTGCTGCTGGGGCTGCTGCTGCTGCTGGGGGGAATGCGCCCCTCACAGACCAGCAGCTTGGGGGCCTGCCAGGTGTGGCTGGGGGTGCTGGTGTGGTGGGGGGAACTGCTGGGGTGGGAACGGCGGGGGTGGGAACGGCGGGTGTGGGAACCGCGGGTGTGGGAACGGCGGGGGTGGGAACGGCGGGAGTGGGGACAACGGGGGTGGGCATGGGGAGTACAGGAATGGGGGCAATGGGAAGAGGGGGGACGAGCATGGTGGGAACGGTAATGGGGGGAACGCGGATGGGGGAAACGGGATTCGGTACGAGGGGATTGGGGATGGTGGGGCAAACGGGAGCAGTGGGAGGGATGGGAGGAGGTGAAGGTGTGGCAGGAGGTGGGAGTGTGGGTGTGGGAACGGCAGCAGCAGGTACAGTAGCAGTAGGCGCAGCAGGAGAAGGGAGGGGTGTACGAGGTGTGGGAGGGGTGGGAGGGGGAGTAGGGGAAACCGGGGCGGCAGCAGGGGCAAGAGGAGCAGCAGGGTTGGGCGGCACACAAGGGGCAGGCGGCACACAAGGACAAGGGGCGGGCGGCATGGCAGGGCTGCAGGTGCTGGGGCCTCGCGTGCAGGAGTTGATGCAGGAGCTGGTTCGAGAGATCCTGGGAGCAGTCAACGTGAGTCAACAGATGGTCAACATGGGTCAACAGGCAGTCAATGCAGGTCAAGGGGCAGTCAATGCAGGTCACACGAGGTTAACTGGCAATCCAGTGGTGGTGAACGGGATTCGATGCGAGTGCCATGAGTGTGTGGCTGCTAGATTGGCGATGAGAACACGTGAAGGCACAGTCAATGCGGGTCAAGATGGAGTCAACGCGAGTCAACCGGTGGTCAATGCGGATCCAAGGAGGCGAGTGGTAGCGAATCAAGTGGACACAGCTGTCGGCCAATCAGGGTTGGGTGCAGGTCGTGTGGGGACGGCTGCTGTGCTAGGGACAAGGAATGCTGGTCAGGCATCAGTCAACGCCGGTCAAGCACCAGTCAACACTGGTCAAGCACCAGTCAACGCCGGTCAAGCACGAGTCAGCGTTGGTCAAGGACGAGTCAACATTGGTCTAACACGGATTAACACTGGTCATACAACAGTCAACGCTGGTCAAGCACCAGTCAACGCTGGTCAAGCACCAGTCAACGCTGGTCAAGCAGCAGTCAACGCCGGTCAAGCACGAGTCAGCGTTGGTCAAGGACGAGTCAACGTTGGTCTAACACGGATTAACACTGGTCACACAACAGTCAACGCTGGTCAAGCACGAATTAACGCTGGCCAAGCACGAGTCAATGCTGGTCACGCACCAGTCATCGCTAGTCAAGCACCAGTCAACGCGGGTCAAGCACGAATAAACGCTGGTCAAGCAGCAGTCAACACTGGTCAAGCACCAGTCAACACTGGTCTTGCAGCAGTTAACGCCAGTCAAGCACGAGTTAATGCTGGTCAAGCATCAGTCAACGCTGATCAAGCACCATTCAGCGCTGGTCAAGCACTGGTCAACGCTGGTCAAGCACCAATCAACTCGTTTCAAGCATTGGTCAACGCTGGTCAAGCACCAGCCAACGCTGTTCAAGCGCTGGTCAACACTGGTCAAGCACCAATCAACGTGTTTCAAGCTCTGGTCAATGCTGGTCAAGTACCATTCAACGCTGGTCAAGCACCTTTCAACGCTGGTCAAGCACTAGTCAACGCTGGTCAAGCACCATTCACTGCTGGTCAAGCACTAGTCAACGCTGGTCAAGCACCAATCAACGCGTTTCAAGCACTGGTCAATGCTGGTCAAGCACCAGTCAACGCTGGTCAAGCACCATTCAACGCTGGTCAAGCACTAGTCAACGCTGGTCTATGGGCTGCTAATGCAGGTGGAGGGGTGGGCGTGGGCCAAGGCAGAGCAGAGGGAGGAGGGGGAGGAGGGGGAGATGGGGTATGGAGGGACGCAGCAATCCTGCAGCTTCTGTTGAAGCTGCTGCAAGGCCAGGCGAAGGAAACAGGTGGGGCTGTGGCGCGGGGACAGGGGGAAAACGGTGGGCAGGGAAGGGCGCAGGGAGGGGAGCAGGGAGGGTTAGGTGCTGGTGGTGTGGGAGCAGATGCTGTGCTACAGACAAGATATGCTGATCAAGCACCAGCCAACTTTGGTCTATGGGCTGCTAATGCAGGTGGAGGGATGGAAGGAAGAGGAGGGGCTTGGAGGGAAGCAGAGATGGTGGAACTGTGGCAGGTGCTGCAAGGCCAGGCGAAGGAAAGGGGTGGAGCTGTGGCGAGGGGACAGGGGGAGAATGGCGGGCAAAGAGTGGGGCAGGGAGGGCAGCAGGGCGAGGAGCAGGGAGGAGGGCAGGGAGGGGGGCAGGGAGGGAATGAGGGAGCGGATCAGAGAGTCAGCTTGCCGGGGGGAAGCGGCAGCGGAGGGGGGGTGTTCACGCTGTCGCACCGCTGTGTGGCGGACGGACCAGCAGGGCAGTGCAGCCTGTGCAGCATCGTTGCCAACTTCGCCAAAATGGTGGCCGCGCAGGGTGGGCTGGGGGGCGCGCAGGGTGGGCTGGGGGGGGTTGCTACTGTGGGAGGAGTGCCTGCAGCAAGCGATCTGAGGGGGAGTGGTGGTAGGGAACTGGTGGCTGTGCTGAGTGAAGGAAGGGGTGGTGAAGGGGGAGATGTACGCATGTCGGGAGGAGGAGAGGGGAGTGGTGGTGGAGGGGAGGTTGTAAGGGGTGAAGTGGGTGAGGCGGTAGAGGTGAGAGCGACGGGAGAGGTGAGAGAGAGGGGAGAGGTGAGAGAGAAGGGAGAGGTGCGAGCGACAGGAGAGGTGAGAGTGACGGGAGAGGTGAGGCCAGGGGGGGGAGGAGAGGGACGGGGGGCTGGAGAAGGAGGGGGGGGTGTAGAAGGAGGGGGGAATGGGGGAGGGGGAGGTGGAGAGGAACGGAGGGTTGGAGAAGGAGGGGAGGGAGGAGGGCTGGGCGGCACAGGTTGGTTGGCCGGCACGGCACTGCAGCTGCTGGGGCATCGCGTGCAGGAGTTTGTTGGAAGAGAGAACCTGGGGGCAGTCAATGCTGGTCAAGGGGCGGTCAATGCAGGTCAAGGGGCGGTCAATGCAGGTCAAGGGGCTGTCAATGCAGGTCAAGGGGCGGCTTTGAGTGGAGGGAAGGAGTTGAGTTCAAGGGAGGATGAGGGTGCTGCTAGGGGAAGGAGTGATAGCGAGGAGTCGAGTGAAGGGAGGGGAATGATGTGTGTGAGTGACGGGGTTATTGTGCTTGAGGAGGGAGATGTGATTATGGGGGAGGCAGGTACTTCTGAGGGGGAAGCGGATGTGACTATGGGGGAAGCGGATGTGAGTGTAGTGGGAGGGGACCTCATTATGGGGAAAGGGATAACTGTGGGGGGAGGGGGCATCAATGGAACGGAAGGAGAGTCGAGTGGAACGAAGGGAGAGACGAGTAGGAATGAGGGAGAAGCGAGTGGGGAGGAGGGAGAGACGTGTGGGAAGGAGGGAGAAACGAGCGGGAGGGAAGGAGAGACGAATGAAAAGGATGGGGAAACGAGTGGGAAGGAGGGAGGGGCGAGTGGGAAAGAGGGAGAAACGAGTGGGAAGGCGGGAGAGGCGTGTGGGAAGGAGGGAGGAACGAGCGGGAAGGAAGGAGAGACGAATGAAAAGGATGGGGAAACGAGTGGGAAGGAGGGAGGGACGAGTGGGAATGAGGGAGAAACGAGCGGGAGGGACGGAAAGGCAAGTGGAGAGGAGGGAGAGACGAGTGGAAAGGAGGACGAAACGAGTGGAAAGGAGGGGGAGACGAGTGGATTGGAGGGAGAGACGAGTGAGATAGAGAGAGAGACGAGTGGGAAAGAGAGAGAGACGAGTGAGAAAGAGGGAGAGACGACTGGGAAGGAGGGAGAGACGATTGGGAAAGAGAAAGTTTTTGTTATGGGAAATGGCGATATCACTACAAAGGAAGGAGAGAAGAAAGGAGGCATGACTGCAGGGGAAGATGAGGTGCAAGTGGTTGCACAGGCAGGCTGTGAAGGCCGTGTGATTGTCAATGAGGGTCAACGAGGGTCAAGGAGCAGTCAAACGGGAAGTGATTCTGGTGAGATGGCAGTCAACGAGGGTCAAGGAGCAGTCAACGAGGGTCAAGGAGCAATCAACGAGGGTCAAGGAGCAGTCAACGAGGGTCGAGGAGCAGTCAACGAGGGTCGAGGAGCAGTCAACGAGGGTCGAGGAGCAGTCAACGAGGGTCGAGGTGTATAGGATGCGAGTCAAAGGGTTACAACAAGTGATGGTCAAACGCCAGTCAGAAAGAGTCAGCGTGAAGTCAATGGTGGTGAAGAAGTGAGTAGCGGAGGTGAGAGCAGTGAGGGGATGTTCAATGAGCACTCAGCAGAACATGCAAGTCAGACACAGGACAGTGGAGGTGAAGGGAAAGGGGCAGGGGATGAGAGAGAAGCAAGGGCGGGTCAGACCAACCGATGTAGTGTGGATGGGTCTGATGAGGCGGAGTGGGAAGTCGAGGCAGGCATGGACTGAGATTGCAGTGAGGTGTTGGGTGGCGGGGCAGGGATGCGTGTCGAGGCAAAGTAATTTGATGGTCTGATTTTGCGACCTTGTACACGTTCAATAAAAGTTCTTCAACTTATATGATGTAAGTTCAAAATATGGTGGCCACAATTTTCTCTGTAGCAAGCCCATGTGAGTTCCACACTCCGCTCGAACTCAGTATAGAATCTTAGTGTTTCCACATTATATTAATATGACGAAACAGAGTATAGCGCACTAATGGTTACTGTAGACTGCTGATGTCAGCGTGTGAGATCAACATCGCATCGTGCTATATGGTGGCGACGCCTTCAGCCATGGCGAGGCCGAGCGAGTCCTGAGAGACCTTGACGTACTCCACTCGCAGGTACGGCAGCGAGGGCAGTGAGAGGGGGATGGAGGGGTTGTCTGGGGGCGGAATGACCCCCGATGTCAGCGCCTGATGGGGTTGGGGAGGGGAAGAATGGGTGATTAGAAATGGGGTTGAGGAGGAAAGTGAGCGAAACACTTTGACATACTCCACTCGCAGGTATGGCAGTGAGGGCAGCGAGAGCGGGATGGAAGGGTTGTCTGGAGGTGGGATGACCCCCGATGTCAGTGCCTGATGGGGTGATGGGGTGGGGGAGTTCAGGAGGGGAAGGAGGAAAGGGGGGAGAAATTACTCCCAGTTAGGCCCTTATGTGGTGGATGATCCCAGATGTCAGCGCCGGCTGGGTTTGGTGGAGAAACTTATGGAGGGACGTCTCGCAACGTCAGTTACTGATGGACGTCAGGAATGGGGTAGGGAGGGCGGGTTGAGTGCTCATGCTAGCGCCGCATGGGGTGGGTGTGATGGGTTGGGGGCGCGGGGAGAGGGTGGGGAGGGAGGAGGGGGAAGAAGTACAGTGGGAGGGTAGACTTGCAAGGTCAGTTCCTCATGGACGTTTGTGATGGGGGAGGGAGGGACGTGATGAAAGGGAGTTTTTGAGACGTGTCAATACCTTCCTTTTATCACATGGACATTCGAGATGGGGTAAGGAGGTGGGGGTGACTGCTGTTTTACCGCCTGAAGAGGCGGGAGTGTGACAGGGTGATTTGTTGGAAAGTTGGGGAAGGGGAGAGGGGGGTGGGTGCCGTGTGCCGATGTCAGTGCCTGCAATCTACGCGTGATGGCAATGTGGGTGCATGACCGTTCACCCCCACAAGCACCTGCACACTCACCAATACAAGCACCTGCACACTCACCTCTACAAGCACCACCTAACTCAGCCCAGGGATCGCCTGGCCGCTTACTGAAAGGTGGGGTGGAGCCAGAGGAGTTGCCTTCACCTTCCCCTCTTTGTCCCCTTTAAACCCTCGTCGCTGTCACACTTGTCTCTGTCACGCTAGGACATGAAAAGGCCTGAAATTGCACCCAGCGCCTGCCCACCTATTTGGGTGGCGGGAATGGCGTCACTGCAGTTGCCTTTCACCCGCCCAACATTCACAACTCGTTGGACACTCATCCCTGAAAGAACCTCTGAATGCACCCCTCGTTCTCTGCTCCTCACTCTATCACCGTCACCGCACTCACCCCTATGAGCGCCTGCCCGCTTATTAGGGTGGCGGGAATGGCGTCGCTGCAGTTGCCCTCCCACGGACTTGGCTTGCCTGACGGCCCTACACTGAGAACCACCCACTCCTTGCCTTCCCTGTGCGTCAATCTGCGGTGGAGAGCGGTGGAGAGCGGCAGCGAGGGGCGGAGAAGGGCAGAATGGGGTGGAACGCGGCATAATGGGTGTCTATGTGCACAATGAAATTCCTTCAAAGCACAGTAAAAACATTGCATTGTAGCTACAAAGCACTTCTTATTCTCTCGGTGTGTTACATTGTGGGGTGAACGAAGGTGGAGAGGGATGCAGTGCTGTTCAGTGGGTGGGGACGGAAATGATATGGTGCTTGTAACAAGTCGCCAAGGATGTGTGTAACTAGAGGCTGAAAAGAGAATATATGTGCTCAAAGAATTTCTTGGTTTGCATGCAGGCTTGTTTACCTTAGAACGTCTTCCGATTCTGCTTGTAGTGCTGCGTCCTTGTAATGGTTGTGCTTACTGCACTCATAAACATCCACACACACAGACACACATAAACCATGGTCTCTCTCACACACAGGTAGATTGTGCGAAAACGCACATCCACACACAGATACACACATAGACACAGACATAGACAAGCACGCACCCTCCCACACACACCCACCACCCCCTTCCCTCATTAAACACAAACACACTCACGCCGACACGCACACATACCCACGCGTGCAGACACACAAGCGAACAGAGTACATCAAGCGCTGATGATCGAAAAGAAATCATCTGGCCTCGACAAGTGTCGAGAATTTTCTATCAACTGCAGTCGCATCAAGTGTAAACCTGTGAAAGTACGAACCCATGCCTGGATCAGACGCGACATAGTATGGCATGTGATGTAAGGAATGCATCCCTTCATCCACGTGCCATTTGAAGCTCCCAAGGAAAATCTGACAATTGCAAATGTGCTAGTGCGAGACTTTTGAGTCGACTCAAAAGTCAGAGCCCCAGTGCCTCACCATGGGTGCTAGTGCGGGCCCCAGTGCCTCACCATTGCTGCACGAGCTTGGCAATCTCTACAAAGCAATCCGTGAACTTGACTTTGAGCAGAACCATGCCGCCCACTGTCTTGATGTTCTGATTGGCAGGAGGCATAGGTTGGAGGGTAGGGGAGGACGAGAGGATGAGAGGAGGTTAGTGAACTTGACTTTAAGCAGAATCATACCAGACGCTGTTTTGATGTTTTGATTGGCAGGACTGAGGACTCATAGGTTGGAGGGTAGGGGAGGATGAGATGATGAGAGGGAATAGCGGATGAGAGGGAGGAGAGTGAACTTGACTTTGAGCAGAATCATACCGCCCACTGCCTCGAAATTCTTATGCCACGACAAGACCACAGAGGCGAGTGGGGGATAAGATGAGCAGGGCACGCCAGAAAAGGAAGTGGTGAGAGAAAGGTGATATTGGTGTTGACTGGAAGACAGGTAGAGAGGCAGGCAGGGCAGACGCACGGAGTAATATTCGTGGTGTGGAAAGAAGAGAGGGGTGGTAACGGGTGATAAGGAGTGCCAGGGTGGTAAGGGGGGTGGCAACGGGGTGGCAATGAGGTGGTAAGGAGATGTTAGGTAAAACCTAGTCTTACAGCCAGTTCTAAGACAGTTAGGGAGGCAAGCAGGCAGTTGCATCGAGTATGGATGGCATCAAGCAGCAGACCACTCAAAAGAGTGAAGGTGGTTGGCTCGATGACAAGAGAGGGAGGGTAGGAGAGGATTAGTGGCAGGCGACACTTGGAATAGCAGCATGTGCGAATAACCAAACAGGTAAAGCCAAACAAAAAACAGCTCATACGAAGTTGAAGAGGGAGGAGTGGGGGGGTGGAAGAGGCGTGGGAGAGTGGTTAGAGTAGGGGGAGGAGGAGGAGTAGGAGAGGGAGAGGGCTGGGAGGGAAAGGAGTGGGTTGAGGCGGAGGAGTGGGAGGAGGGGCGGGAATGGGAGGAGAACGGAAACATACGAAGATAAAAGGGGCGTTGGTGGCAGGCAGGTGCCTTGCAGTGCCCTGAAGGGAGAGGGGAAGCAATGAGGAGAGGGAAGGGGGTGGGACGATGAGGAGAGGGACGGAGATGGGACGATGAGGAGAGGGATGGGGGCTGAGCCGTTGGGAGATGGCGCAGTGGGACAGCATGGAGGCAAGCAGATCTCGCAGAGAGGGGACGTGGGGTGGGGAGGGCAAAGAGTGAGATGGTGTGAGAGCGTGGGGAGGATCGTGAGAGGATGGCGGGACAGAGACAGCAAAGTGAGGGGTGGTGGAGGGGGGAGGGAAGGAGATGGCGCCGGGAGAGTGTGTGCGGAGTTAAAGGAGGGTAGTGAGATGGTGTGGAGAGAAATAAGGGGCGGTTGAAGCGCGAGAAGCGAAGCGGTTCACAAAGGAAGCAAGAGAGCCGCATAGTGGTTAGAAGTGCTGGATGCAGAATTTCGGCAGATGAACTGCCCATAACAACTCTTTTTAGGGCGAACTGGAAAAGGTGCTTTGGGGTTGCAAGGCTGAATTTGACTGAAATTGGATACTGTTGAATCAAGCTAACAGGAGTTGAGTGGAACGGATTGAGTGGAGTTGTCGTACCGCTTTCTCTGCAATGTATCTGCATTCTCAGGGCACAACGGGGAGAGACATGTACGTGCAGTGTTGGGAGGGAGGAAGCAGCACAGGAAGGAGTGTGTGAGTAACCGTGTTACCAGGATACTAGCTTTCAGGAAGGTCCAGATGAGCAAGAGGTTTGACGCAAGGCTCGGATGAGCGTGAGGGTTGGCGCAAGCGTCACTTGCTCCTGAGAGTTTTGCGTTTCCAGTGTAGCTACTTCCTGTGACGATTGTGTGAGTGAACCTGGCTGATTGCAGAAGCGCTTGTTCACTCAGGCGACGTGAAACGGCTCTGCGCTTGTTCACGTGGCGCTCTGATGAAAACCTTGTGAGTGCTCGGAAGCATTGGCTCAACGGACCAGCCGGCGCGAATGAAGTGCTTCTAATATGAGCTCATAACTCGACCTGCATTGCCCGCACTGCTCGCATTGCTCGCCTGGCCGCAATGCACGCTTGCCAGTGCTCACACTCCTTGCATTGCCCGCACTCTGACCCGTCGTTCGTCAACGCGAGCTAGAAGGGCTTATCACTCCGAAGCGAGCTAGAAGTACGTATCACCCTGAAACGAGGTCGCTCACCGTGATCGGACGAGGAAGAGGACGAAGGCGATGAGCGACACGATGCACATGGTCCACGCGAGGCACGGAATCGACAACCGCGAGGACCGCGAGGGCGGTTTCCGGCCCTTGGATCGCTGCAGCAGCTCGGAAGGCTTCATCCGAGCCATCGAATCCGTGGAACTAATCTCCTAACGCTCGAGGTAGTGACTAGACGAGAGACGCAGCGCTGACAATCTGGATATGGGCTCGGAGAGGACGCTTCGAAAAAAAACTATGGCGAACAAGCAATAAGTGGGGGTATGTTATATAGATCGAAACAGGATTAACGTTCATGTACAAGAGTGTTTACATCAGCAATTTCGGATAAAGATTCGAATGATAAAATTGGTTTTTTTACGGGAGATGAAATGCTCCATGGGCGGATGCGGCCTAATTGATAAAAATACGGGTGTAAAGGCTGGGGAAGGTACTATATAACTTTAAATAGACTCATCATCATGTCTTTTGTGCTCCTACAATTTGTGTCATCATCTTGCCTTGCTCTCACCCTCCCCTTTCCATCCAAAATTTCATACATATATCTTTCTGTTCTCTGTCTACACTGAATATACAGGTATATAGGGATGAAATGCACAAGTAATACATAACATATAATATGAAGTTGAGTAATTTTGTATCTGTAAGGTAGTACACTATATATATCCTTCGAAACACAACGCGTTCCATTAGTCAGAAGCTCGGGTTACCGGACCGGAACGCGATGCAGGAGTCAAGCAAATCTGGCTTACCGTACCGAAACGCATGGTAGACGTTAGAACCATGGAACTCTTTTCCGAAAGCGAACTGCACCGAGCATTTGTTGCTCTTCGCGAATTGATCATTATAGCCGGAGCGCCTGCGAAGTTATGCGCAACACCATCAGCCATCCATCCCAAATCAAAACTCCGCCGCACCTCCCGTCAAATTCTCAGTGTTCGCTTGCAATGAACGTCACGTTCTGATCAATATAGATCGCATCTCGAGTTCTCCTATTCTACTGAAGGATTTCAGTGTCACTGAAGATTTTCACGCTGTATCTTTGAGCTTCTTCCGTTTGTTTGTCATTTCTTTTCAAGCTGTACCTTGGACGCTAGAATCCCAGCAGTCGCCTTCTTTTCGTGGCGAGAAACCGCTGACGCTCTTATCTTGTGGTGAGACCCCCTGACGGCTGCTTAAAGCGGCAGCGCGAGCGACGGAAACAGCGTCCGACGGAAGTGGATACGCCTAACACCGGGATCAGCGGCGCCACCGCCGACAACGCAAGCGCGGCGACTAGCAAGCGCGACGAGCAAAGCCCGGCAAAAACGCAAGCGCGGCGACACCGGCGCAGCGACGTTGGCAGGCAGCTTGAACAGAAACATGAAGAGCATCAGCATCGGCGTCATTGGTTCGCACGGCGCACCGGCGGTTGTAGCGCGATGCTCTGGCTTCGTGTTCGTTGCACTGACTGCTTTCATGCTCTCAGGTGTGATGCTCTTGTACCCTCACTACCACTATGACACGCCTCTCAGTGCTCTCACTTACTCTTCTGCTCTCACTCTACTCTCATGCTCTCACTTTACTCTCATTCTCTCACTTTACTCTCATTCTCTCACTTTACTCTCATGCTCTCACTTTACTCTCATGCTCACTTACTCTCATGCTCACTTAACTCTCGTGCTACTACTATATTTAACATGCTCTCACTATTCTCTCATGCTCTTATATTCTCATGCTATCACTTCATTCCCTCAATGTATGCTCTCAGTATACTCATGCCTCTACTGTAATCTGATGCTCTCACCATACGTGCTCTCACTATACTCTGGTGTGCTCTCAGGTTTTGGCCCTTCTTCCTCTCCATTTCCCCTTTTTCCCGCTTTTCCCGGAAGAAGGCTTTTTTTACGCAAGCTGATCACGGCTGCCCTTACTTCCTTTTAGCTTATCTCCTCCCCACGCTCCCCTCTCCCAACACCTTGCCCTTTCCTCTCTCCCCCACGTGCCCGCTCTCAGCATGTGCGCCCAGGGCTGCCGCCATCCTGCAACCTGCAAGTAAGCAGAAGAACACGAGTTTCGAGTCGATGATATTGTTCAGAAAAAGCATTACAAGTTGTGTCTGATTTCAATCTGCTCCGATAATGAGATTTCGATTCAAGTTATATGGTATTGTCTGTTTCATCTCTCTTTCCTCTTGTCGATGTTCTTTCTGTTCCTTTCCACATGATAACTGTTCCTCTCCTCTCACCTGTTCCTCTCTTCCTACCTGTCCTTTTCTTGAATAATCTGTTACTACCTGTTACTTAATGTCTTTGCTTCGTCCCTCCTTAAATTATCTCGGTTTCGCAGCCCCTCATTTCGCGTTCCCTTTCACCCATCCTTCCTCACCCAGCATGTGATATCAAGAACTGTAGTGCGAACAGCACATGTGTCATGACTACTGGAGTGCCCACCTGTGTTTGTGACTCTGGTTTCGTGCTTCAGTTGGACGGCAGGACGTGCGTCGGTAAGTGTTGAGTGTTTTTGCCTCTAGGTGCTGAGTGTTGTGCATCAACGTGCTGAGTGCTGTGGCTCTGCCAGTGGGTTCAGGGGCTTATGTGTACTTTATGATCGTGCAGCTAATGAGCAGCTGTGCGCTGCCTCTACTAGCATGTGCTGGTAGTTCTTCTCGCACGGTATTCTCACCTCCTCCTTCACATCCTTTTGCTTTTGGTAAAATCCTATCCTTGCGTCCTACTGTCCTATATTCTCGTCCCCTCCAAACCTCACCTCCCTGCTAATCGGCCTCTGCCCCCACCCAGATGCCTGCTATTTCAAGCACTGTGGTGCGAACAGCACCTGTGTCAAGACCAATGGAGTGGCATCGTGTGTGTGTGACTCTGGCTTCGTGCTGCAGTCGGATGGAAGGACGTGCATCGGTAGGTGTGATGAGTGTCGTGACTCTGTGTTTCAGGGCTTCTTTGTGTTGCCTCTACCATTTGGCGCTACTAGTTCCTGCCATGACAGAGTTTTATCACCTTTCCATTCACATCACTTCGTTTGTTGTTCGATCCTGACCCCGCCTCCCCTCATACTAGCTTGAGTCTTAACACCCTTCATGCCACGTTCCCTCCAACTGTCCGCTCCCCTCTCCTGGGCCTCTTATCCCACTCAGATGCCTGCTATTTCAAGCGCTGTGGTGCAAACGGTGCCTGTGTCAAGAACGGTGGGGTGGCCTCCTGTGTTTGTGACTCTGGTTACGTGCTTCAGTCAGATGGAAGGACGTGCATTGGTATGTTCTGAGTGTTGTGACTCTGTTTTCAAGGCGCTTCTCTGTGCTTGTTGATCTATCTTGTGCAGCTGTGAACAACCTCTAGCATGTGGCATTGTCTTTTTACCCCTCATTATTCATCACTCTGTATCTGTTTTTTTGTGAAATCCAGGCTCTGCTTCTTCCAACTAAATTCTTGATTCCCACTGCACCTTTTTTGTCATCCCCTCCATTCCACCTCTCCTCTCTCCTTTGCCTCCCTCCCCACTCCAGATGCCTGCGTTATTCAGAACTGTGGTGCAAACGGCACCTGTGTCAAGAACAACGGAGTGGCCTCCTGTGTTTGCGACTCTGGATTCGTGCTGCAGTCGGATGGCAAGACGTGCATTGGTAGGTGCTGACTGTTGTGTCTTGGATTTCAAGTGTTGCTGTGTGTTCACTGGTCTACGTTGTACAGCTGTGTCCTGCCTCTACCATGTGGCGGCGGAGTTCCCGTTGGTGCACTGTTTCCTCATCTCTCCTTTTACATCCCTTTTTCTATGTGCGTTACGGGGTCAATCCCGTAACCACCCCTCCTAAAAAATTTGCCCAATACCACCCCTCCGTTTCACGTCCTTCCACCCATCCTATCTCCTCTCCATCGTCTTTTACCCCGCACAGATGCGTGCAAGATTCAGAGCTGTGGTGCAAACAGCACCTGTGTCAAGACTGATGGAGTGCCCTCCTGTGTTTGCAACTCTGGTTTCGTGCTGCAGGCTGATGGCAGGACGTGCATTGGTAGGTGCTGAGTGCTGTGCCACTGTGTTCACGGGCTGCTCTGTGCTTAGTGATTTCGTCATACAACGGTCGGTCATGTTTGCTTAGTTTATTTACCTCTCCTTTTGTATTCCTTTCTAGAATATCGATTTGGTGCAATCACGGCCTTACCACCTTGCCCCTCATGCTCCTCCTGACGGAATTTGAATAACCACCACCCTACCAACCCACCTCTCCTTCTCCTCCCTCTTACCCCGCCCAGATGCGTGCAAGATTCAGAGCTGTGGTGCGAACAGCACCTGTGTCAAGAACAATGGAGTGCCCTCCTGTGTTTGCAACTCTGGTTTCGTGCTGCAGGCTGATGGCAGGACGTGCATTGGTAGGTGTTGATTGTTGTGCCTCTCTGTTCGATGGCAGCTGTGTGCTGCCTCCACCATGAGTGAGTCGATTCTGTCACTGAGGCGTATTCTCGCACACCCTTTTGCGTCCCAACTTAAAAAGAAAAGTTCGATTCTGGTCCCGCTTTTTCTCACTAAGTTCAGATCCCTCCATCCCTCATGTCACCCCCCCTCTACTCCTCTTTTCTCGTCCCCTCTACCCCTCATTTCTCATCTCTTCCGTGTGTTTCCCCTCCCAGATGCCTGCAAGATTCAGAATTGTGGTGCTTACAGCACCTGTGTCAAGACCGATGGAGTGGCCTCCTGTGTTTGTGACTCTGGTTACCTGCTGCAGTCGGATGGCAGGACGTGCATTGGTATGTGCTGAGCGTTTTGCCTCTGTGTTTTAAGGGCTTCTCTGTGCGAGTTGATCTACCACATGTAGCTTTGTGCTGCCTCTAGCCCTGTACTTATTCCTGTGATCGCAGAATTTCATTACCTCTTCTTTTGCATCATCTTTTAATAAACAGTTTATTCTACCCCCACCCTTATCTGGCGGGATGTTAATTCTCACCGTCTCTTGTTTCACGTCCACTCCCACCCTTCTCTCCCCTCACCTCTGCCTTTTTCCAGATGCATGCAGAATTCAGCGGTGCGGCTCATACAGCCGCTGTGTCAAGACCAATGGAGTGGCGTCCTGTGTGTGCTACACTGGTTACACGCTGCAGTCGGATGGCAGGACGTGCAAGTAGTCCCCAGGAGGTGGGTGGTATTCTGCTGCTTCCAGTGCCAATGCTTACACCGATGTTATACGTCCCTGACACCTCGTCTGAAATAACCTGTTGTGTTACATCTTAAACCCCACCATCCTTTGACTCACGTCCCCCACCCTGACATCTCCCCTCACCGAGACATGCCTAAGAGGACGTGGGCTGTTGTAAGAACAGGCACTGTTTTGATGAATGTAGTGCTTACCAATAAACCAAGCTAAATGGCTTATCTATTTGACCTCTGGCTTATTTGTTTGACCTTTGGCTTATCTACTTGACCTATCTTGCATCGGTAAGCCTGAGACATTTCAATTTATCCCTCACTCCGTCACACCCTTCCATTTCTGTTTCTCATCCCTCTCCTTCCGACAGACAAGCTCCCTTTGGAGTAATAACACTTTCACATCATCAACACTCTTTCTCGATTGCCGCTGCTTGCATCCAAATCAATCATCAGGGGCTAGGGTCTTTATTTGACCTTTTGGTGGGCTGGTTTTGGCATCAATTGACCACATCTAGATACAAGATTCTTCGTTCCTTTCTACTCTGTAGTTCCATGTCTTTCTTCGTTCTGTTCTTTGTTCTATGATTTTTGTTTTGTTGTGTGTTCCAAATGTGTATTTGTATAAGTGATTGTGTGAAACCTGATGGTGGTTGTAAATTGCTTATGACCAAGTGAACCCTGTGTAGCAAGATGCTCAATCCAGGCCCTTGTATCATAATCATGCTCTAGCTTTCAAGAAATCTCCCTCCAACTTGAGATTTTGGCCTACCTACCGTATTGCCGCGGATAGTGGTGCAGGTGGTTTAATGATAGAAAAGGCATTTTATAAGGGGGAGCTTTAAATTGAGTTTAGGGTATGAGCGGTAGCCCTTGTTGGAAACAATTAATTAACGCTTCTGATGTGTCGAAACATCGAACTGCAAATGAAGCAAATCACAGCGAAGCATCGGCGAGTCTTTTGATGAGGCTGACAGAAAGTAACAGCTGGTGGTTAAAGCCAGCAGGCAAAATAGTGACCCCCTTCCCAGCTTGAAATAGCCCTGCGAAAAGCTCAAGGGATCGGGCCGATACAACACTGATTCAAACAACCGAAAAGCTCTGATTGAATTGTTCTGATTGGCTATTGCCAACATGTGAATTTTGTTGGCTCCCGCCAAATGAATTTTGGGGCTCATGTCAACCGTCGCACGTCTACGTGCTGCACCCTCACGACCGATGCAAAGCGATCGTTTTAGTCGCCCGGCCAATTTCACAATCAAGCTGGAACTGGGTTCACAACTCTCTTTTCTCATCCCGTAGTCGCTACTTTCTTTCCTCAGTTTAGCTGAAATAGTAGTCACTTGCGCCCTAGGCACGCCGTTTGTAGAGTGAGTTTGATAGTGGCATGTAGGGACTTAGCTCGGGTGCGTATGTTAGAAACTAGAGACAGGAATGATTGGACTATGGAAGTTGGGGTACAAATACAAACCCTAACAAGTGTTGTACCCCACATGGCTACCCCACTATAGCCTACATTCTAGCATCACACATATAGTTTGACAGCGTAATATAGTAATACTTTGGTTGTCGTCGCGAGGCGCTGAAATATGCAGGAACGGTAGAAACGCCGTTCTTGATGTCGCTCTGGACAGAAGCATAGGAGACGCAACGGAGATCAACACCAATACCGGTAGCAGTTATTGTGAGGAGGTACTGTGCGGCGGTAGAGTAGAATCTGAAGAAGAGGCACATTCCACAACTCAACAGAATAGTGCCTTGACGATTTATGTTCCTTGACGTTCAGCTTTCCAGAACATGTAGCGACAACAAGGCGCTCATCGCTTTGACGCTCATCGATCTCATGGCTTCGTCGCTAACACATCACTTCACTGCTTATTGCTCTCATCACTTTGCTGCTCTCCCCCCTGAATGTTGCTGTGCGAGAAGCATTAGCCTGTTCAACTTCGACTCGAAGGTTCTTTTAGCCACACTTCCATATCAACCATTGGGTTCATCTGATTTTTCTCTCCCATATCCGTATTCAATTATTCTAGATCCGACTGCACGCACAGCACATAAGCTTGCCGTTCATGGCACCGATGATGTTCGGAGGATGCATGCACAAGATCTGATTTCCATTCCGTCTCGTCCTTCTGTCGCCCTTCCTCTCCCCCATCACATCGCCCTTCCTCTCTCCCATCTCTATGCCATTCCTCTTTTCCATCTCTATGCCCTTCCTCTCCCCCATCTCTACACCCTTCCTCTCTCCCATATCTACGCCCTTCCTCTCTCCCATCTCTACGCCCTTCCTCTCTCCCATCTCGTCGCCCTCCCATTTCTCGTCCCCTCGCCATCGACATCTCTCACCCTTTCCCCTCGCCCTCCCTTTCCTCCCGTCGCCCTCCCGTTCTCGTCGCCCTCCGTTCAGATCGCCTTCGCGATCTGCTCTCCCATCCCCTTGCCCTCGTGTTTCCCATCGCCCTCCATTCAGATCGCATTCGCGATCTGCTCTCCCATCCCGTCGCCCTTCCGTTTCCCGTCGCCCCCACGATCTCACCTCCCATCGCCTCACGATGTATGTCCCCCGTTCGGGACACGGGAGGAGTCCTCCCGATCTCACTTCCCATCGCATCACGGGAGGAGTCCTCCCCTCGCCCTCACGATCCCCCTCAGGGAAGGGAGGCTTCCCTTCCCCTCGCCGTCGCCACGATCTCCCTTCTCGTTGCCCCACTTTCTCTCCTTCTATTCCTCTCTCCCCTGCCCTCCCATGGCCTTCCACTTCGTCGCCAGCGCACCGTTCCTCTCTCTCCCATCACCCTCTTTCTCTTCATTCGCATCACCTTGCCCTTCAGGATTTTCCTCCATTCCCCGTTGTTGTTGTCTCACAGGCCCCAAGTCCAAGGCAGCACATTGCTAGATGCGAATTTGAGTAATCAAGTTAGGCCCAACTAGAAGGGGGGGTCACTATTTTAGCTACGGGCTTTAAGCGAAGGTCAAAGGTCAGCGACCTTTGAGTCGTCGAAAGGCAGCGCGACAGCAAGGACGACTCGATATTGAGCAGTTGCCCGAGTCGTCGCTGTATCGAACCGCAACAGCAACAGCAATCCTTTCATATTCCTTGTAATCATATAGAAGGCTTTGTATTACCTTGCTATGATCAATCTATCTTGCTCTCACACACTAGTGCAAAGTGGTTCAGCAGTTCACTAAGAACGCTTTCGCAATTACACCATCTCTACTCAGGGTCTTAGCCTTGAAAGATCCTAAGGGCTTTTCTCAGCCCAACATGGTATGAGAGCTAACAAGACAAGAGTTAACTTCATTCCAACCCCTACAACAACAGAAGGCATGGCAACACAGAAGGAGAGAATCTCCTCTAATGGTTCTCCCGGCACTACTCCTACTCCACCTCCAGCCTCTGGCCTACAGACAAGACCAGCTGCTGAGTCTACTGAAACTCCTGCAAACCAGACAACTGGCTTTGATCCAAGCATGATGGAGAAGTTTTTCTCCTTCATGTCCTTCTACGAGCAACACCAGCAAGCAGCACCTGCGTAATCAAACAACAGAGACAACAACAATGGTGCCACTCCAATGAGTCTTCACAGCTCATCATATGCGCGCGGAAATCAACAGCAGCAACCTACCTTTGCTCCGTACGAGCCTCAACGTGGTTCCACCAGCTTCATGCCGAATCAGCCTCCACCTGGACAAGAAAGGACACTGGACGCACTTCAAGTACAGTCGCAGTTTGCACACGTTCTAAAACTGCAAACGGCAACGCCGTTCGACGGCAAAGATTTTTATACCTGGTAGTTCGAGTTCGAGCTGATGATGGAAGGTGCGCAAATCCTTGGATTCTTCGACGGTTCCCTGCCATACCCAATGCACAGAACACAGTACGACAAGCAGCAGTACACGTATCAGACGCTGATGGCGTATGCAATTTTTCTACAAAACATAACGCCAAACGAGTAGCAGAACATCCGATCTTACCGTAGATATGGCAACTCCGCCGAGCTCGCGTACAACCACCTCAAAAACCTGTATCAAGTAATATATAGCGTTAACCAGAGTCACCTCATGGCACAACTGACAACATTGGATATGAAACCGGGGGAAAAGGGAATGGCGTATATTAGCCGTTCTTGCGGACTGCGCGATAGACTCCTTCGATGCGGTGGATCGATATCTGAAGAAGCCTTTGTCACAGTCATATCCACTGGACTCGGTCCTCATTGGCGCTCCACTCGAGCTATTCTCCGAGCTCATGGAAATATCTCCGAAGCGGCTGACGTTCCAGAAGTGGCTGGTGCTGGTGGAGCGGCAGGCGATGAAGTCTGTGTTGCTTGCGCTCTGACCGAGGCGGAGAGTTCCTCAGCAAGTAGTTCACCGCCTTCGTGGACAGCAAGGGGATCGTCCACGACCTGACTTGCCCCTACACCCTGCAGTAAAACGGCATGGCGGAGCGGGAGATGAGGACGGTGGTGGAGTCGGTGTGGACGATGCTGCTGCACATGGGCGTGCAGCACCACTGGTGGCACCTCACTCTGCAGCAGGCTGTCTGGGTCCGCAAATACCTTGAGAGGTCAGCGACGCTGGGGACGACGCCGTACCAGCTGCTCACCGGGACGAAGCCCGACCTGTCGCTGGCGCGCGTGTGGGGCTGCATGGCGCAGTTCCTCGTCCCCGAGCAGCAGCGTGGTGAGAAGCTGAAGCCGAATGCCGAGTGGGGCCTTCACCTCGGCGTGTCGGAGGAGAGCAAGGGCTGGGAGCTCCTCGACATTGCCGACAACCGGGTGGTCACCACGTCGGACGTGGTGTTCTACGAGACGATGTCGCTGGAGGTGTGGAAGTCGGAGCATGGACCTGCATCGGGACGGACGTGGTTCACTTCCAGGCCAACTTGCTGGGCGAGTCGGCCTTGAAGTGAACCAACGGGCCGAATACGGAGGTCGGATGCCTTCCTCGACTCGGGAGGACCTCGGCGAACGGGCCGAATATGGAGGTCACCCGACTTCGTCATGCCGGCCGCCTTCACCACGACATATGGCAACGATGACGACGACCTGGCATATGATGACGCCAAGGATGATGACAACCCACCGGAGCTCGATCCCGACATTCACGCCGAACTTAAACATCGTTGGGACATCTCCACGATGATGGTGAAGGAGGCGCTGGTGAGCTGGAAGGAGTCGGTGAAGGCCGCCATGGTGGAGAAGATCCGCAGCCTCATTAGCATGGGAACTAGGGAGCTGGTTGAGCTCCAGCCCGGGGTGAACATCATGAAGAATCGGTGGGTGCTGACGATGAAGTACCGTATCGACGACATCGACGAGCGCGAGAAAGCGAGGCTGGTCGTCAAGGGCTTCATGCAGGTATACGGTGCCGACTACGATGAGACGTACGCGCTGGTGAGTAGCTATTTCACGCTGAGAACTTTCCTCAGCATCGTAGCCGTTCTCGACTTGAACTTGATGCAGCTCGGCATGAAGAACACATTATTGCAGAGCAAGCTCGACCGGGTGCTGTACGTGTACCAGACGGACTACTTCAACGACGGGTCTGGCCAGGCGGGTGTGTAAGCTGCTGAAGAGCCTCTACGAGCTGAAGCAGTCGCCACTGTTGTGGTACAAGGCGCTCAACGACGTGCTGGTAGGCGCTGGGTGGAAGAAGATCCAGGTGGACGAGGCTCTGTACTTCAAGGTCGGCGCCGGCAACGTAGCGTGCTGGGTGCTGGTCTACGTCGACGACCTGCTCGCCGCCAGCAGCAGCACCGAGATGCTGAAGGAGCTGCTGGAGGCCGCCTTCGAGTTGCGCGAGATCTCGCCGGTGCAGAAGTACCTCGGGCTAGAGATCGTGCGCGACAGGTCGGCAAGGAAGCAGTGGCTCCACGATTAGGGCTACGCCGACAAGTTGCGTAAGCGGTTTCTCGACGAGGAGCAGACCGGGCGCACTCTAAAGACATCGGTCTTGGTTAACGCCTACGCCGAGCTCACCTTTGACGTCTAGGAGGCTCAAGAGCGCCAGGAGGAGTACCCACAGAAGGTCGCCTTCGCTTCCTTCTTGCAGAGTTTCGGCAGCTGGATGCCGGGAAGCTGACTGTCCTCAAGGTGGACAACAAGTCGGCCATCACAGTCGCCGAGGGCATGGGGTTGACGGGCAACCTCAAGCACATGGAGCGGCGACAGGCCTGGCTGCAGCACATGGTGACGCGCGGGAAGTTTTCGATGAACTACATCCCGACCACCGAGCAGTCGGCTAACTTCCCGACGAAGGCGCTGCATTATTCGACCTTCAACCGGTGCTCCGTCGCCATCGGCCAAGTGCGTCTTGCTGATGTGGACGACGGCGACAACGACGTGTAGTAGTAGGTGCCATGCCCTTTTGCATGGCTGGTGCGGTGACCGGCGTGCTGTGTGTTGTGTGCATGCCGACGAGCCAGTCTCCGAGGAGTGCTGCTGTGTGGGGTCGGGATCCAAGCATGAACGCGGCAGGGGAGTGTCAACGGATGTTGTGTTGGGCCCCGTCCTCGCTCGGGAGGAGCCGACTTCATGGTCGAGTGTGTGGGGAGCAGTCGACCTGTAGCAGTGAATGAGCTGGTCGACAGGGGTGGTCGACCTTCACGGGCGTCACTGCAAAGAGCGCTGACAGACTTCGGGAGGGCGCCAACTTCGGGTGGTCGACTTGGGAAGTCGACCTGCGGGGGGTGCTGACTTTGGGAGGTCGACCTGGCGAGGTCGACTGCGGAGGCGTCGACTCAGTGACGCCAACTTAGGGCAGCCGACATGGGTGGTCAGCTTACAGGTGTGCTGGTCGACCTAGAGTTGGTCAACTAGGAGAGACATCGACCTGGAGATGGTCGACCAAGGGTGTGGTCGACCTAGGAAGGTCGACTAGAAGTGGATGTCGACTTGGGTGGTCGACGAGCATGCACGGGAGCAGCTGGTCGACGTGGTTGCTCGGTCGACCAGGTTACCTGGGTGACGAGGTTCTGCGGAGGCACGCGACGGTCGCCCAGGCGATGTTGGCGAGGACGACCTCGGTGGTGGTATTCCGAGGTCGACGTGGCTGACCAGAAGCAGTCGTCAGCATGATGGATGATATGGTGTATGCACTGAGTAGGTGATAACACAAGGCATGCCAATCAACTGCGAGGACCTCCGTAGTAGGTGCGCTGCTGTCCTGCGGGAGCAACGCTGGCATTCCGTCGACAACGGTTACTTTACACCCCAGCCAGTCAATACAAACATTTCAGAACGCATAGGACCCAAATTCTTACCTGATCCAGAAGCGGGAGACGAAGCAGTCTATCCCGAGGACGCAAATCTCCCTCGCTAAACATAGTGGGCTGCAAATACTGGGACGATAAGGTCACACAAGGTTAACTGGCAACCCGGCGGTGGTCAATGGGAGTCGATGCGAGTGCCATGAGTGTGTGGCTGCTAGATTGGCGATGAGAACACGTGAAGGCACAGTCAATGCGGGTCAAGATGGAGTCAACGTGAGTCAACTAGTGGTCAATGCGGATCCAAGGAGGGGAGTGGTAGCGAATCAAGTGGAGACAGCTGTCGGCCAATCAGGGTTGGGTGCAGGTCGTGTGGGGACGGCTGCTGTGCTAGAGACAAGGAATGCTGGTCAGGAACCAGTCAACGCCGGTCAAGCACCAGTCAACGCAGGTCAAGCACGAATAAACGTCGGTCAAGCACGAGTCAACGTTGGTCTAGCACGAATTAATGCTGGTCACACAACAGTCAACGCCGGTCAAGCACGAGTCAACGCCGGTCAAGCTCGAATTAACGCTGGCGAAGCACGACTCAATGCTGGTCGCGCAGCAGTCAACGCCAGTCAAGCACCAGTCAACGCTGGTCAAGCACCAGTCAACGCTGGTCAAGCACCAGTCAACCCTGGTCAAACACCAGTCAACCCTGGTCACGCAGCAGCCAACGCCAGTCAAGCACTAGCCAACGCTGGCCAAGCACCATTCAACGCTGGTCAACCACCATTCAGTGCTGTTCAAGCATTGGTCAATGCTGGTCAAGCACCATTTACTGCTGCTCGAGCACTAGCCAACGCTGGTCAAGCACCAGTCAACGCTGGTCAAGCTCTGGTCAACGCTGGTCAAGCACCAGTCAACGCTGGTCAAGCACCATTCGCTGCTGGTCAGGCAAGTCAATGCTGGTCAAGCACCATTTATTGCTGTTCAAGCACTAGCCAACGCTGGTCAAGCACCAGTCAACTTTGGTCAACCTCTGGTCAACGCTGGTCAAGCACCAGTCAACGCTGGTCAAGCACCATTTGCTGGTGGCCAAGCACTATTCGCTGCTGGTCAAGCACTAGTCAATGCTGGCCAAGCACCGTTCACTGCTGCTCAAGCACTAGCCAACGCTGGTCAAGCACCAGTCAACGCTGGTCAAGCACTGGTCAACGCAGGTCAAGCACTATTCAACCCAGGTCAAGCACCATTCAGTGTTTTTCAAGCAATGGTCAACACTGGTCAAGCACCATTTACTGCTGCTCAAGCACCATTCAACGCAGGTCAAGCACCATTCCACGCTGGTCTATGGGCTGCTAATGCAGGTGGAGGGGTGGGCCAAGGCAGAACAGAGGGAGGAGGGGGAGGAGTGGGGGATGGGGTATGGAGGGACGCAGCGATCCTTCAGCTGCTGTTGAAGCTGCTGCAAGGCCAGGCGAAGGGAACAGGTGGGGCTGTGGCGCGGGGACAGGCGGAAAACGGCGAGCAGAGAGGGGAGCCAGGAGGGCAGCGGGGAGGGGGGCAGGGAGGGGGGCAGGGAGGGGAGCTGGGAGGGGAGCTGGGAGGGAGGCAGGGTGGGGAACAGGGAGGTGGGCAGGGAGGGGGCCCGGGAGTGGGGCAGGGTGGAGGGCAGGGTGGGGGGCAGGGTGGGGGGCAGAGAGGGGAGCAAAGAGTGGGACAAGGAGGGGGGCAGGGAGGGGAGAAGGGAGGGGGGCAGGGAGGGGAGCAGGGAAGAGGGCAGGAAGGGAATCAGGCAGCGGATCAGAGAGTGGGGCCAGTCAGTGTGCCGGGGGGCAGCGGCAGCGGAGGGGGGGTGTTCACGCTGTCGCACCGCTGTGTGGCGGACGGGCCGGCAGGGCAGTGCAGCCTGTGCAGCATCGTTGCCAACTTCGCCAAAATGGTGGCCGCGCAGGGTGGGCTGGGGGGCGCGCAGGGTGGGCTGGGGGCCGCGCAGGGTGGGCTGGGGGGCGCGCAGGGTGGGCTGGGGGGCGCGCAGGGTGGGCTGGGGGGCGCGCAGGGTGGGCTGGGGGGCGCGCAGGGTGGGCTGGGGGGCGCGCAGGGTGGGCTGGGGGGCGCGCAGGGTGGGCTGGGGGGCGCGCAGGGTGGGCTGGGGGGCGCGCAGGGTGGGCTGGGGGGCGCGCAGGGTGGGCTGGGGGGCGCGCAGGGTGGGCTGGGGGGCGCGCAGGGTGGGCTGGGGGGCGCGCAGGGTGGGCTGGGGGGCGCGCAGGGTGGGCTGATGGGGGTTGCTACTGTGGGAGGAGTGCCTGCAGCAAGCGATCTGAGGGGGAGTGGTGGTAGGGAACTGGTGGCTGTGCTGAGTGAAGGAAGGGGTGGTGAAGGGGGAGAGGTGGCTGCGCCGAGTGGAGGAAGGGGTGGTGGGGGAGGAGAGGTGGCTGTGCCGAGCAATGGTGGTGAGGGTGCTAGGGGATATGTACGCATGTCGGGAGGAGGAGGGGGGAGTGATGGTGGAGGGGAGGAGGGGGTGGGCATTGAGGTCGAAAGGGGTGAGGCGGGAGAGGAGGGAGAGGAGGGAGGGGTGAGAGAGGAGGGAGGGGGGGGGGGAGGGGAGGAGGGGGCGGGAGAGGAGGGGGAGGGGCGGGAGAGGAGGGAGGGGCGAGAGTGGAGGGAGGGGCGGGAGAGGAGGGAGGGGCGGGAGAGGAGGGAGGGGCGGGAGAGGAGGGAGGGGCGGGAGAGGAGGGAGGGGAGGGAGAGGAGGGAGGGGCAGGAGGGACGGGAGGGACGGGAGGGACGGGAGGGGTGGGACAGGAGGGAGGGGCGGGGGGGAGAGGAGGGAGGGGCGAGAGAGGAGGCAGGGGCGGGAGTGGAGGGAGGGGCGAGAGAGGAGGGAGGGGCGGGAGAGGAGGGAGGGGCGGGAGGGACAGGAGGGACGGGAGGGGCGGGAGAGGTGAGGCCAGGGGGAGGTGGAGAGGGATGGGGGTCCGGAGAGGGAGGGGGGTGTGAAGAAGGAGGGGGGAATGGGGGAGGGGGAGGTGGAGAGGAACGGAGGGTTGGAGAAGGAGGGGAGGGTGGAGGGTTGGGCGGCATGGCAGGGCTGAAGCTGCTGGGGCATCGCGTGCAGACGTTTGTCGGAAGAGAGAACCTGGGAGCAGTCAACGCGAGTCAACAGATGGCCAGCACATGTCAACAGGCAGGCAATGCTGGTCAAGGGGCAGTCAATGCTGGTCAAGGGGCAGTCAATGCTGGTCAAGGGGCAGTCAATGCTGGTCAAGGGGCAGTCAATGCTGGTCAAGGGGCAGTCAATGCTGGTCAAGGGGCAGTCAACGCTGGTCAAGGGGCAGTCAACGCTGGTCAAGGGGCAGTCAATGCTGGTCAAGGGGCAGTCAATGCTGGTCAAGCAGCAGTCAATGCAGGTCAATGGGCAGTCAATGCTGGTCAAGGGGCAGTCAATGCTGGTCAAGGGGCAGTCAATGCTGGTCAAGGGGCAGTCAATGCTGGTCAAGGGGCAGTCAACGCTGGTCAAGGGGCAGTCAACGCTGGTCAAGGGGCAGTCAACGCTGGTCAAGGGGCAGTCAACGCTGGTCAAGGGGCAGTCAACGCTGGTCAAGGGGCAGTCAATGCTGGTCAAGGGGCAGTCAATGCTGGTCAAGCAGCAGTCAACGCAGGTCAATGGGCAGTGAACGCAGGTCACGCGGGGGTGGGTGGCAATCCAGTGGTGGTCAACGGGATTCAATGCAAGTGCCGTGAGTGTCTGGTTGCTACCTTGGCGGCCAGAATACGTGAAGGTGCAGTCAATCTGAGTCAAGCAGTAGTCAATCCAAGTCAAGCAGCAGTCAATCCGATTCAAGCAGCAGTCTATGTGGCGAGTCAACTTATGGTCAATGCGGATCCATGGAAGAGAGTGGCAGCGAATCAGGTGGAGACAGCTGTAGGTCAACAAGGGTTAAATGCAGGTCGTGCAGTCAGTCAACGCTGGTCAAGCACCAGTCAACGCTGGTCAAGCACCAGTCAACGCTGGTCAAGCACCAGTCAACTATGGTCGTTGGGCTGCTAATGCATGTGGAGGGGTGGGTCAAGGCCGAACAGAGGGAGGAGGGATGGAAGGAAGAGGAGGGGCTTGGAGGGAAGCAACAATTGTGGGACTGGTGCAGCTGCTGCTGCAAGGCAAGGCGAAGGAAAGGAGCGGGGCTGTGGCGAGGGGAGAGGGGGAGAACGGCTCGCAAAGAGTGGAGCAGGGAGAGCAGCAGGGAGGGGAGCAGGGCGAGGAGCAGCGAGGGTGGCAGGGAGGGGTGCCAGAATTGGGTCAGGGAGCGGGACAGGCAGGGGAGCAGGGAGGGGGGCAGGGAGGGGAGCAGGGAGAGGAGCAGAGAGGGGAGCAGGGAGGGGAGCAGGCAGGGGAGCAGGGAGGGGGGCAGGGAGGGGAGCAGGGAGAGGAGCAGAGAGGGGAGCAGGGAGGGGAGCAGGGAGGGGAGCAGGCAGGGGAGCAGGGAGCGGGACAGGCAGGGGAGCAGGGAGGGGAGCAGGAAGGGGAGCAGGGAGGGGAGCAGGGAGGGCACCAGGGAGGGGGAGAGGCAGGGGGACAGGGAGGGGAGCAAAGAGGAAATCAGGGAGGGAAACAGAGAGTGGGAACAGTGAGCATGCCGGGGGGAAGCGGCAGCGGAGGGGGCTACTTCACGGTGTCGCACCGCTGTGTGGCGGACGGGCCGGCAGGGCAGTGCAGCCTGTGCAGCATCTTGGCCAACTTTGTCCGAGTGGTGGGCGCTCAGGGCGGCCTGGGGGGGGTTGTTGCTAGGGGAGGAGTGCCCGCAGCAGGTGAGCAGAGGGGCAGTGGTGGTGGGGCAGAGGTGGCTGTGGCGAGTGGAGGGGGAGGGGGTGTTGGGGGAGAGGTGCGCTTGTTGGGGGAAGGAGGGGGGAGTGGTGGTGGAGGGGCAGAGAGGGTGGGGGTTGCAGGTGAGGCGGGTGAGGGGGAGGGGGGTGAGACGGGAGAGGTGAGGGCAGAGGTGGGTGGAGAGGCACAGGGGGATGGAGAAGGAAGGGGGGACGGGGAGGGACAGGGGGTTGGAGATGAAGATAGGCAAAGTATCGCCTCAGAAGCAGCCAATGCAGGTCAAGGGGCGGCCAATGCAGGTCAAGGGGCGGCTTTGCGTGGAGGGAAGGAGATGAATTCACGGGAGGATGTGCATGGTGCTCGGGAAACGAGTGAGGGCGAGGAGTTGAGTCAGGGGAGGGGAACCTTGTGTGTAAGTGACGGGGTTATCGTGCTTGAGGAGGGAGATGTGATTATGTGGGAGGCAGGTACTTCTAAGGGGGAAGCGGATGTGACTATGGGGGAAGCAGACATGAGTGTAATGGGAGGGAACCTCATTGTGGGGGAAGGGACAACTGTGGGGGGAGGGGGCATCAATGGAACGGAAGGAGAGTCGAGTGGAAAGGAGGGAGAGACGAGTGGGAAGGAAGGAGGGACGAGTGGGAATGAGGGAGAGATGAGTGTACAGGAGGGGGAAACGAGTGGGAGGGTTGGAGAGGCGAGTGGAGGGGAGGGAGACACAAGTGGGAAGGAGGAGGAAACGAGTAAAAGCGAGGGAGAGGCTAGTGGGGAGGAGGGGAAAACGAGTGGAAGGGAGGGAGAGGCGAGTGGAAAGGAGGGAGAGGCGAGTGGGAAAGAGGGAGAGACGAGTGGGAATGAGGGAGAGACGGATGGGACAGAGGGAGAGGCGAATGGGAAGGAGGGAGAGACGAGTGGGACGGAGGGAGAGACGGATGGGACGGAAGTAGAGATTAGTGGGACGGAGGGAGAGAGGCGTGGGAAGGAGGGAGAGATGAATGGGACGGAAGGAGAGACGGGCAGGACGGAGGGAGAGACGAATGGGAGGGAGGAGGTGGATGCGATGGAAGAAGGCGATATGAGTGCAAAGAAAGGAGAGAAGGAAGGAGAGAAGGAAGGAGGCATGAGTGCAGGGGAAGGCGAGGTGCACGTGGTTTCAGAGACAGGCTGTGAAGGTCGCTTGATTGTCGATGAGGATCAGGAGAGAAGTGGTTACGGTGAGATGGCAGTGAATGAGAGTCAAGGCGCAGTCAATGGGAGTCAAGGCGCAGTCAATGGGAGTCAAGGCGCAGTCAATGGGAGTCAAGGCGCAGTCAATGGGAGTCAAGGCGCAGTCAATGGGAGTCAAGGCGCAGTCCATTGGAGTCAAGGCGCAGTCAATGGGAGTCAAGGCGCAGTCAATGGGAGTCAAAGCGCAGCCATTGAGAGTCAAGGTGCAGTCAAAGGGAGTCAAGATGCAATCAGCAAGAGTCAAGGTGCAGTCAATGGGAGTCAAGGCGCAGTCAATGGGAGTCAAGGCGCAGTCAATGAGAGTCAAGGTGCAGTCAATGGGAGTCAAGACGCAGTCAATGGGAGTCAAGGCGCAGTGAATGGGAGTCAAGGCGCAGTCAATGGGAGTCAAGGCGCAGTCAATGGGAGTCAAGCTGCAGTCAATCGGAATCAAGGCGCAGTCAATGAGAGTCACGGCGCAGTCAACGAGGGACGAGGTGTGGAGGGTGCAAGTCAAAAGGTTGCAAGTGATGGTCAAATTCCAGTCAGCAAAGGCCAATGCGCAGTCAATAATGGTCAAGAAGTGAGCAGCGAGGGTGAGAGCAGTGGGGGCATGCTAAATGAGCGTTAAGCAGAACACCATGAAAGTCGGCCACGGGAGGGTGGAGGTGAAGGGAAAGGGGCAGGGGTTGAAAGGGAAGCAAGGGCAGGTCAAACCTACCGATGTGGTGTGGATGGGTCGGATGAGGTGGAGGGGGAAGGCGAGGCAGACACGGACTGAAATTGTAGTGAGTTGGTGGGTTGGGTGGGCATCCATCCAGCCTGGCAAGGGAATGAATGCACGATCAGGCGAAGTTTGTTTGATAGTCTGATTTTGAGACCTAATAAACTGTCAAACATATATTATCTAGCCTATGTAGGCTGTAGCGGGGTAGATACTAAGGGGTACACAATTCTAGGGTTTCACATTTGTATCACACACCTTTCTAGTTCATCCATTCCCTCTAAACTTCACATGGTATAGAGCGGGTTCCCTAGTGGGACCGTTCCTTCCAAGGGCCCACCTTCGAAAGTTTTTTTTTAGACTGCCCATAACGCGCTTCGCGTCCTGCCCGAAAATTTCGCGGCCCCTCAGTGGCCTGCCCCTTAACGGCCCCTTAGTGGCCCCTTTCGCGGCCCCTTAGTGGCCCCTTTTCTGCCTCTTAGCGGCCCCTTCACGGCCCCTTAGCGGCCCCCTCGCTGCCCCTTAGCGCCCCCCCACCCTTAGCGACCCCGTCGCGACCCCCTCGCCACCCCGTCGCGGCCCCGTCGCGACCCCGTCGCGGCCCCGTCGAGACCCCGTCGCGACCCCGTCGCGACCTTGTCAAACTATATGTGCTGCATATTGTCTAGGCTCTAGTGGGGTAGCCCATATGGGGTACAACCCAATTAGGGTTTACTACTTGTACTCCTGCATCCTGTTAGTTCATTCATTCCTGCTGCTAGATTCTGACATGGTTTCAGAGCACTAAGGTCCGTAGGACCGTTTTTTTCGGGCCCACCTACCGCTGCGGTTACCGCGCTACCCCACGTACCTGCCTGCCTTGCCTTGCCTTGTGACGTGCTGCACAAGCGCTGCCTCCTGCTGCCCTAGGCCAGCGCGCTGCCCCTAGAGGCCCGTAAAGCCCGCGCGCCGCCTCTACACGCCTGTCAGGCCCGCCAACAGGCTGTTACCGCGCGCTGCCCGCACCGAAACCGCGCAGCCCGCACCGAGTCGCGCGCAGCCCGCTGCAGCCACGCGCAGCCCGCACCGAGCCGCGCGCAGCCCGCTGCAGCCGCGCGCAGCCTGCACCGAGCCGCGCACAGCCCGCTGCAGCCGCGCGCAGCCCGCACCGAGCCGCGCGCAGCTCGCAGCTGCCGCGCGCAGCCCGCGCCGAGCCCACGCAGCCCGCGCCGAGCCGCGCGCGGCCTGCTACTGCCTCGCACGGCCCGCGCGCGGCCCGCAACAGCCCGCGCCGAGCCGCGCGCGGCCCGCTACTACCTAGCGCGGCCGCGCGCGGCCTGCAGCAGCTCCGCGCGCTGTCCGCGCAGCCCGCGCCGAGCCGCGCGCGGCCCTCTGCCTCGGCCCCGACCTGCCGCTGATGCGGCCCCGCCCCGCAGCTGCCACGGCCCCGACCTGCCGCTGATGCGGCCCCGCCCTGCAGCTGCCACGGCCCCGACCTGCCGCTGACGCGGCCCCACCCTGCTCCTGCCGCTGAAGCGGCCCCGCCCTGCAGCTGCTTCGGCCCTGCTCTTCAGCCGGTGTTGCGGCCCCGACGTCGCCGCTGTCGAGCGCCGGCCATGCTCGCCCGGTGAGCGCCTGCTCTCCCAGCCTTTGGTGAGCGACTGCCTGCCTGCCTGACGGCCTGCCTGCCTGCCTGCCTTCCTGCCTGGCTGCCTGCCTGCCTGCCGGCCTGCCTGCCTGCCTGCGCGCCTGCCTGCCTGCCTGCCGGCCTGCCTGCCTGCCTGCCGGCCTGCCTGTCTGTCTGCCTGCCTGCCTGCCTGCCTGCCTGTCTGCTTGCCTGCCTGCCTGCCTGCCTGGCTGCCTGCCTGCCTGCCGGCCTGCCTGCCTGCCTGCGTTCCTGCCTGCCTGCCTGCTTGCCTGCCTGCCTGCCACGCCTGCCCTGCCCGCGCTAATGATACTGGCAGGTGGTCAGATGCAGCTCCAGCGACGTTCACGCGAGCCTCTCACGCCCCAGCAGCTTAGTGAGTGGTATACTAGCTGGGGTTGTCGCGGTAGCCATCGTAGCTGTCGCCCTGGGGCTGGTCAGTTGGGAGCGTCTAGCAGTGGCCAGCTGCAGCTGCAGGGGCGTCCACGCGAGACACTTACGCCTCAGCAGCTCCAGGAGTGGTACGCTCAGTGTAGCAGGTCTACACGTACAGTTCGCTGCCCGTACGTCATTCGCACAGGTGCTAGGACTGGTCAGACTTGCGGGACAGTTGGCCACACACAGTCCCGCTGCTTCGCCCGTCTGAGCGACGACTGGCGCACAGTGTTTGGCGACGAGGCTGAGCTCCCCACCTGGCTAGAGCTGCATGGACAGGGGGTAGATATCTTTGCGCGTGACTATGATGCTATTCTCACTGCCATGTATGCATTGTCTACTAGTGCTGACCGTGCCTGTTGCCTGTGCGTACCGCCTGACCCCGGTGAGGCTGCTGCCCTAGGTGCTAGTGCGTCTCCTGCTCTAGGTGCTGGTGAGGCTGCTGCTCTCGGTGCTAGTACGTCTACTGCTCTAGGTACTGGTGAGGCCGTGGCTTCAGGTGCTGCTGTGTCTGCTCTCTCTGGTACTGCGCCCACTACGGTCTCGCACACCTTCACCCTTGACTCAGGAGCTTCCCGCTCCTTCTTTCGCGACTGCACCGCACTCACGCCGCTCCGTCGGCCAGTCCCGGTCTCCCTGGCGGACCCCTCTGGGGGTCCAGTCCTTGCCCACTATTCCACGGTTCTGCCGTGTCCGGCCGTCCCGTCCGGCTCGCTGTCAGGTCTTTACCTCCCCTCGTTCTCTACGAACTTGGTGAGTGGAGCTGACCTCCAGGATGGGGGGGTTCACCAGTTCACTCCTGCGAGTCAGCGAGTGACTCACTGTACGTGTGCTAGGACGGGCCGGCACTTGGCCACGTTCACCCGTGCACCTGGCTCGAGTCTGTACACACTGACCACTGAGTCCCCTCAGGTAGCTGCGTCTGCGTCTGCGTCTGCGTCTGGTCAGCTGGCGGCCCCCTGCGAGTGTCGCGCTTTGTCACACGACACTCTCCTGTGGCACCACCGCCTTGGTCACCCCTCCTTGCCTCGCCTGCGTAGCATGCACTCTCGCTCCCTGGTCTCTGGTCTCCCCAGGTCTCTGCCTGCCCTCCCTCCCTCGCCTGCGCCGCCCTGCATTCCTTGCGTCGAGGGGCGGCAACGCGCTGCTCCTCACTCCTCCTCGTTTCCTCCCACAGAGGCTCCACTGCAGACGCTCCACCTGGACGTGTGGGGCCCAGCCCGCGTCCAGGGACAGGGCCACGAGCGGTACTTCCTGCTGGTTGTCGACGACTACACGCGTTACACCACGGTCTTCCCCTTGCGGACCAAGGCGGATGTCCCTGCTGTTTTGATCCCCTGGATCCGCGCTGTTCGTCTCCAGCTCCGCGAGCGGTTCCGGTCGGACTTTCCTGTCCTGCGTCTGCACTCTGACAGAGGTGGTGAGTTCTCCTCCGACCTCTTGGCAGCCTACTGTGCGGAGCACGGCATCACCCAGTCGTTCACGCTTCCGGCCTCTCCATAGCAGAATGGGGTTGCTGAGCGCCGCATTGGCTTAGTCATGGAGGTCGCTCGTACCTCCATGATCCATGCGGCTGCCCCCCATTTTCTGTGGCCGTTTGCGGTCCGGTACGCCGCGCATCAGCTCAACCTTTGGCCCCGTGTCTCCTTGCCGGAGACCTCGCCCACACTGCTGTGGACGGGGAAGGTTGGCGATGCGTCGCGTTTCCGGGTCTGGGGTGCTGTTCCCTGTGTCTTCCTTGGCTTTGTCCCTGACGCGCCTGGTTGGCAGTTTTACCACCCCGCCTCGCGCCGTGTCTTTGCGTCTCAGGACGTCACGTTCGACGAGTCGGTTCCCTTTTACCGTCTCTTCCCCTACCGCACTGCCTCGCTCCCCCCCCCACCGCTCTTCCTCGCTCCAGGTGCTCCCCAGGTAGACCCCCTCCCCGCTCCCGGTCCTGCTCCTTCAGGTGTTTCTCAGGTAGACCCTCCTCCCTTGACTGCGCCGGTTGAGGTCACTGGTGACTCAGGTCCTACTGAGAGTGGTCCTGCTCGGGGTACTACTTCTGGGGGTGCTGAGCCTGGGGGTGCGGAGCCTGAGGGTGCTGAGCCTGGGGGTACTGAGCCTGAGGGTGCGGAGCTTGAGGGTGTGGAGCCTGGTGGTGCTGAGCCTGAGTGTGAGGGGTCTGGGGGTGCTGAGCTTGGCGGTACTGACGCTGGAGGTTCTGGAGCTACTGAGGGTGGTGGCGCTGGAGGTTCGGGAGCTGCTGGAGGGCCTAGTACTGGTGGCGCTGGAGCTGGAGGTTCTGGAGCTGTTGAGGGTGCTCGCGCTGGAGGTTCTGGAGCCGCTGGAGGTACTGGTGCTGAGGGTACTGACACCGGAGGTTCTGGAGCCGTTGGGGGTGCGGGCGCTGAGGGTTCTGAGTCTGCTGTTGCGCGGTCTCCTTGGAGTGGCCGCCTTCGTCCACGTGTGCCTCTCACCCCACAGCAGCTGCAGGACTGGTACGGTCGCCGTCAGCGTCGCGCTGCTGGAGCTAGGAGTGGTGCTGGTCCTTTGTCTACTGGAGGTGCTGGAGTCGCTGGTTCTGGAGGTGCTCGTGCTGGAGACACTGAGGCTGGAGACCCTGGGACTGGAGGTGCTGGTTCTGGGGGTGCTGCTGCTGGAGACACTGAGGCTGGAGACCCTGGGACTGGAGCTTCTGGAGCTGCTGGAGGTACGGGAGCTGCTGGAGGTACTGGAGCTGCTGGAGGCACTGGAGCTGCTGGAGCTGCCGGTACTGGTGCAGCTGCGCCGACACGGCTGTTCTTCGCTCCGCCGTCTCCGTCGTCTCTGCCGCCGCCTGACTCTGCTCTTCGTCAGGTTGTTACTCTCCCGTCGTCTACTGGTCTTCCGTTACAGCCTGGCTCACCGCTGCCTGCTCCTTCTCCTTACACTGAGCAGACTGGTAGTCCTGCTGAGCGTCATGAGCCTGCGTCGCGTCCTGTCTCGCCTGCTCGTCCTGGTCGTACCGGTCGTCGTG